AAAAAAAAAAAAAAGTAACTAGTTACTGATGGTCTCATTTCTTCACATATATGACTTCTTTCAGCTTCTTCATAAACATTTCTGTTGGAGTTGCCTTTCATCTGTATTCAATGATTCCCATATCCAAAGTCACTGAGATCTAAGTTTGCAAGCTGCGGTTTCAATGATTCTCATTTGTGGTTGCAGTGGTCTTGATCGTTGATTCTTCTACCAATGACCTTGATCTATGGGATACTGGGGGCCCCAGGTGGTACAGCTTTCCTCTCCAGAGGAAGAATTTGCATTTGCTTCTGTTGAGATCTGGGGACTGCCTCCAGCCTGGGTATACCTCTGGCCACAGCTTCCCACTATCCATGGCAGCAGCTGCTAAGGGCACCTCTCCAGGACACTTCTTTCCTTGGAGTGGTGCTTGCAGTGCACCACACTAGTTTGAGCCTCCTCCTTCCTCCCTTTTTCTTTCTTTTTTAGAGAAGAGAAAAATTAGACTTCAGAAATTTCTCAAATTCTGAGGCATTGCTAGACTCCAGGAATTAGCTTCTCCTCTGGATCTAATTGTTTTGTGTAAGAGCCCTTTGGCATATCTGTGTTTTTCAAATTACAGGAGTAGCTACCCAGCAGTATAATTTTAAACCTTCAAAATGTTAAAGAATTTGTTTCCAAAGTAACGTGGTTAAAAAAAAAAAAATCAATGATTGCTAGCAAGTGTGAGTACATCTCAGGTTTGAAGGTTGTCCAAAATTAGCAGGGAAGGGAAGGGAAGGCTAGCAGGAAAGAAATATCCATAAGTAAGTTTCAAGGTACTTTATACACAGAAGAAATAGTTGAAGACATGCAAACTCCAAAAAGAAACTAAACAGAAACACAGAAAGCCCTCTCAGAATGAACGCCTATAATCCCAGCACTCAGCAGGCTAAGGCAGGGGGATGGCAAGTCTGAGGCTAGCCTGGCCTACATGGCGAGAGCCTATCTCAAAAGAGCAAACAAAAATCGAAATAGCAAGATGAACTTACAGCCTAAACGCCAGGAAAGAAAAAGTCCCAACCTGAAACTCTTACTTTATGTGGGGCTGCAGGCCAGGTTGTTCCTCGTAGTCATCTATGAGGAAAGGCAGGTTTTTGGCCCAGTGGTCCTTAAAGCTTCCCGGCAGATCCATGTCCACACTGTACTCAGTGAGAGGGGTGTCGAGGTGTGCGTGAAGATACCGAGAGTACTCTGCAGACAGGACGGGAGATCTCACCACCCAAACAGCCCTGAAGAACCACTTTTATAGCCAGTTGCCACACAAACACTTTGGAACAAGTTGTTATCTAAATATAAGCACTCTAAAAGGATATCCTAAACATTAGTAAGGATATAATTACAAGAGAACAGGGACTCTGTCTCCTATGGAGCACAAGAGTCAAGCGGTGGGATTTCTGGAGCTTGGAGCTTGAAAGTCAATGACTGCAATTTTCTGACTTACCTCGGAGATATTTCACCTTCAGGTACTCTGGGCTAGCCTTCTGGCCAGGGAGAGGGTCATTGAGCATAACTTTTGTTTGTGCTTTAATCCCTTCATAAAACTGTCCCATGGCGACGTGGCTGAGCCCTTTCATATACTGGCACACTTCGTTGTAAGGCTCCAGCTGCAGGCAGCGCTGGGCATGGAAGGACAGACATTCTATCAGTATCAGTGCAGTCTAAAACAACTTTGCAACACTTTATTCTTGAATCTGGGATGGGAAAATCTCCCCAGGCCCAACCAGGTCACACACGTCTGCTGGTCTGGAGGATGAGGCAGCCAGCCTTCCCCTTCTTTCTTCTGTGGAGTGCTCACAGCATCTGAGGCCCCCTTCTCTGCTCACCTTGCTGAGCTCTCAGGAACAGCCCAGGAACTGCCTTTACAGTGCTTCCTGCTGACGGAGACTCACCTTGAAGTTCTTGAGGGCCTCCTGCAGGCTGCCATGGTGGTACAGCATCAGCCCCCGAAGCTGCAGGGTCTGCACATGGTTCTGGTTGAGCAGCAGGGCCTTCTGAAAGCTCTCGGTGGCTGCTTCGAAGTTGCCCAGTTCTCTAGATGTTAAGCAACAGTGATGAACACAGTGAAGACACTACAGACAACATGCAGAGCAAGCTGTCCTCAGCATCAGGTCCAGCTATGAACAGGATACTTTGAGGTAGGCTCTGTCACCTGAATGCCTTGCAGAGCCCCCAACACAGCACGTTCCACTCACCACTTAAAACCAAACTAGGCCACAGAATAACCGTGTGGCTCTTGAATTTCTCTGGGGGAAATTAACAGCAAATTCCAAAAGCAAGTGCTTCTTCAAACCCCAGTTCATAATGAGCTTCAACCTCTAAAACATGACAAAATAGTATGTGAGTAAAAACATACTTTTCCCCCTTGGAAAAAAAAGTACACAGATTATAATCATATGTAGGTTTCCTATCCTGAATCAAATTCATAGGCTAAACAATTTTGTTTTGGTCACTCAAGTTACTTGAGTAACAGCTAATGAATCATTATGAAATAAGTCAACTTTAGAATTACAATCATCCCAGAAAGGAAACTGTTAACATTTAAAAAAAAATTTTTTTTATTAGCAGGACTGAGGTTTGAACTCAGGGCTTTATGCTTACAAAAAAAGTGCTCTACCACTTAAGCCATGTTTCCAGTCCATGTTGCTCTGATTATTTGGGAGATGGGGTCTCTTGAACTATTTGACCAGGCTGGCCTCAAACTGCAATCCTCCTGATCTCAGCCTCCCAAAGTAGCTAGGATGACTGGCATGAGCCACCGGCACCTGGCTACATATCAAAACTTTTACAAACAAAAATAGTTTCCAAGTATATTCTATATGTCAATTCTGTATAAATAATGAGTATTTTAAAAATATACTGTCCATTTACATTTACACTTCACTTTACAAGATGCTTTCCAAGCTGTTTTCTGTTCCATGGGACAGGAGGGATAAACAGCATCCCTAACCCCAAACAAACTCAAACTCTCCCTCTCTTGGGTGAATGTGAGAGCCTCTGAATCCTGCATGAGGCACCAAGCAAGGAACTGCTGCACCTGCCTTTCTTCTGTAGCTTCCACAGCACCTTTCCATGTGAGACACCTGCA